TATTTTTATCGATATTGGCGGCTTAAAATCAGTCTACTTGAAATCATCTCACAAAGTCTTAAGCTGTTGTTAGTAACTTCAGTGAAGACTCATGCTGTTACTTAGATTTGAATACATTCCATTGCAACCCAGGTGACTTTTTTTACCTCAACCGTGATTGAACCTCGATAGTGACGATTCTGTTAATAAATGGAGCAGAAATTCTTTCACGTGGTCGATATACTAAGGCGATGAATGCCGATAGACATCCTAAAATCCCAGTACATATACAGTGCATAACAGTGTCAAGTTGCACAAATCGGCTTCTGTTAACACTGTGAAATGCGATATACTCGTGTGTAAAATATAACAGTTATCTTTCCGTGCCTGGTATCCGTAGTCGACCTTCCTACTGTGAGTTTTAATGCAATACTTTCCTTTTTTGTCAAACATGGCAATAGTCGCTCTTTAGTTACATCTTGTCATAAATATCTTACATTTTTAGATGGGATTTAATTGATCATAATTTCACTGAAGTTTCATTGAACTCAAATTTTATACGAAATCATATACTCGCATCCGAAATGGTTCAAGGGGGTGGTACATTTCCTATGCTGAAAATTATTGTTCGCATGTGTTTGATGAAAATACGGAATCAACTAAATTTGGGTGCTATATCGCTATAAACCCACCAGTCTTTGAGGTACGCATTCTCTCTTTTGTATTCATGATGTTGCTGGCTTTTTTTTTATACAAACAGCTTACTTCTTATTAGTGATAGATAGTGGCTAGAAGTAGAATCAAGGACATGCGTTTCGTCCTATTTAGGACATGTCAGCTAGACTTAACTGCCTCTCATCGAATGATGTTGTTCCCATTAAACCTTCAACCCTAGCCACGGTATATAAGCTTGCGTTTTAGTTCATGGCTGGATCTATACGACAGGATTTTTTGCTGTTGAATGGCATAAGGATTGAGTTTCTCTGGTGAATGTTATCAATGATATAGATTCTTTAATAAAGTCCTAATAATTCTCGTTACCTGTATTTCGTAAACTTTTACGTTCATGGTAATATATGACAGAGACATGTTATGTATCCATCGCATTTTAAAATAACGTTATCATTCACTGAAGGTAACAGTTTAAAATCTTCATTTAATCAGATTCAGTAATATTTTCGACTGCAAACTTCCTTTCATTGCGTGTTTGGAACATTCTTTCAGTAGACTTAGGTTATTTTTCCGATTGATGTAAGCCTGCCAACACACTCGTCATCTGACTTCATCATGTTTAGATTGAAGATAACGAACATGGTTAGTTTGCAAAGGATTTACAAATTGCATGGTCCACGTCGACATTTATCACAATTGAGTAGTCTTTTTAATAATTGCCGAACTGTGGTGTCAAGAAGGTTGCCACTGGAAACCACCCGGTCGAAATCACAAGGTGCGACTTCTGACACTAAAGTCTCATGAACTGGTAGAAGATACGTCAGCTGAACAAATTGAGTAGTCAGAAACCGAGTCAGCTAATCAGATTCAGGTGGTCTGTACCATTTTAGTTGTATAAGCTGACTGTCTCCAGGATCACTGCTGATAAACCCGGCCCTAAACGGGCAAAACGACCGTTCGGAGTTTAGATCACTCTGATCTGGCTGGCGAAATACTGCAGATCATCCCAAGTGCTTTCTAACTACTCAGGAATTTCAGTAGTAGTATATTTTGAAAGAACATGGCTGTTTTAACATATTTTTTTAAAACATATTTTAACATATTTTTTCCTGTAATGGGGTTTGTTATTCAAAATGATCATTCTTATTTTAACTGCTGTGGTTAGTCTATTCATCAGGACGTAAACGAGTACCAGTGTAGCTAGAGCTTGTTGTTTTACGGAGATGACTCTTAACCAATGGGTCGTGGATGCGAGTACAGCTCCACTTACCGAGGTTTAGGCAGCCAGGTAGTACCATTAGCTCTCACAAAATAGGTGTGGCTCATTTCCTACTGTTTGAATGTGCACAAGGTTGCTGAGAGCATTTCATTCAATCGTGCATTCAAATGAATACCATTGAAGTTCTTGCACAAATCATAACTGCAAGTAGAAACATTTAACTGTGAACATATTTTCTTGAAGGTAAGAAAAAGTAGATTCAGTGGAAGAAACAGTAGAGATCTCAGTTAGCAGTGACAATAAGGCAGTTAGACGCAACTCAGTCTGTGAATTCTTTCTACATTTGCTTTTTAGGGCAATCAAAATGCTCATCTAAAAACTGTGGTTTGTTCGACATTGTGACCTCAGAAACGCTAAAGAAGTAAAACAACGACAATATATTCGACTGACTTAAGGGGAAAGTTAAAATTATTCAGATTGATCAGTTCTGTTCATTGGTTAAATGGAAGCCATCTAGCTACCGAAGGTCCATTTCACCTGTTCAGAGCTAAAATCATCAGCGATTAGGAAACACATTTCATGAAGCAAATGACTTCTCCTCAGCCAAATGTTTCGATTAATCAGGACGAAAATGAAGACTAGTAGTGTTCATATCAGCATCGTTTGTTTCTCATGAGTTTCCTTTTTACTCAACTAGTTTGTCTTTTCATGCTTTAATGAGAATGATCAAGGGGATACATTACATTAGATGTATTAATTTGAAATTGTGATTTCAAGTATGTAACACTATCTGTTGCCTTAACAAAATCGTTATATTTGTTATGCTTTTTTGTGAAATAATAGATTTTCTTTTTGGAATTTTCACTTTTGCTCTTCATTTCTTTCCGCGCGCACAATAGAATTGTACTCCAGTTGAATGCTTACATCCGATTTCCAGGCTAAAAGTCCTGTGCACTGGTTCAATGGATTCATGCTGTTTATATTTATCACTGCATGCTGCATATTCATTATATTCCTGTATTGGCGTGTTGGCATTCGTAAATGTATGAACATGCGACAGCGTTATCAACCGTTTGGTCGATATCGTACATCACGTAAACGCATGACAACATTATATTTTGGCAATACCAATAATACTACTGGTATACTGGATGATAATGCTACAGGAAATTCATCTTCAGTAAATAATAATGATATTCCTGAAAGTTTTCTTTCATCCACTACTGACAAGTTATCATCTGGACAACAGTCTGTTAAAAAAGATGATAAGGCTAATTTCATTTCACTGCAAACTAGTGGACCAAGAAAGTTAACTGATGCTGATAAATCGACACCAAATGACAAATTTACACTATCTGCGTTAAACTTAAGCCGTACTGCTGCTTCAATCGGCTTTATGAATCCAATTTATGTACCATTAAATGATGAATGTATAGAGGATAATTATGATCCTGAGCCGACAAATTAGTTACTTTTGATTGCTGCTCATTCTCTCTGTATACTTTTTATATTCCCCTTCCGATTTCAAACATGCAAGTACTTGTTATCCCAATATCATATTCAGTCTTTCGGTTTTTGAGTGATTAAGTAGGTGGAGACATTATCATGGTGAACACACTTTTTTTATTATTGGTTATATTTTGATGAAGTAATATCATTAACTTTCCAAAGTATAAACCATATTGCACCGCGCCCATCCTATAATTTTTGTGCCTTTATGGATGAAGTAAAAATACAAGAAAATAAAAGAAATAAAAACAACAATCCTATTGTGGTTAGAAGGGTATTCGTTCCCCGTCGGCCACCACCAGTGAAATCAGCTTTTTCCTTCTGTTGGTACATTGTACTTTTGTTTCTCCCATATCACTGTATCTTTCTACACTTCTCTTCCTCACTCTTCAGTGGGCACCTAATATTCCTTGGATGTAAGAGGTGCCGTTTCCATCCTCATTGTCTTTCTTACTCCACCTCCATCACTTCGTTGCAAATTGGGCTTTTCTTCCGCATGATATTACTACATAACTGAAGCTTATTATTGTGATTTTTCATTATACATGTTTGCTCATGAGGTGTTTTGCAGACACGCACATACACACATGTTTTCCCTCACTTATCTCTCCATTTGTTTGGCTGTGTTGCATACCACAGATGAATAATATTTTTGATGGCTGAGATTTGTGTTTATTGTGATAATGTTGGTTGATTATAATTCGCTTTATTGTGTTCACGATGATAACGTGCTATGCCATTCCACTTGCGGTTTTAATTATCCTCTCACCTCTCTGTGAGGCTACTTTTATATGAAATAATAGCGTTAAAAACCATTAGTACAATGTAGTTGTGACAAGTGGATAGCATAAAATAAAGCAATTTAACCAGGCGGTCATATTGCTGTGTAAATTATTTTCGACGTGATTAGAGTCTCATATACAAGCTAAATGAAAGATACGTGTAACTTCTATTCTATAACTCCGTATACCCCAACTTGAACTGTCACTCAGTAATACCAGGTCCCGTGTTCATATTTGACTGGTTCACAAACAAATAGCTGATAAGGAGCAATGCACATAGACTACTGGAATTCATGGGATGAATCAAAACTGAGAAACATAATATTCATTTATCATAAAAAAGCAAGCATTTACGAGAACGAAGTAGCTATTTATTTAGTGATGCCATATTGTCGATAAGGGCCACATTTCTAAACAGAAAACCTGTTTCATGCAGGTAGATCCCTTCATATTTTGGACAAAAAAAGGAAAGACATCCGGAATAGAATGATTTCACCTTATTACACGAATACTTTTCAGTTGGGGAAATCAGTAAAACCCTACCAATCTCCGAATTCAAATATACCTAAAAATTTTTAGTTTATCGCAGCAGAATGCCAGAAACATCTGCAATTAACTAGCACTCTTATCTTCCGGATTCCACTATTATTCATAGTATCGTACTCAAATTAACAACTTTATCGAGCCATCCATCTGAGAGTCCAATTGTCAACGGTGGCCAACCACCTCGGTTTACAAAGATTCTGAATAAACCTAACTCGTAGAAGAGCAGCCTCAAGACCTTCAAAAGATACAGTCAATATGAAATAATATGTAAGCACCAAACAAATGCCCACTTTCAACAGAAAGTCTATCCATATTCAGCAACCTCAAGAAACTTAAAAGACACCATGAAAACTTCACCTCTAGTATAAATATACTGAAATACTCTTCCCAAAAAACAGTGAGAAAGCAAAATTAACATCGAGAATCTAAAACAAACAAAAGAAACCCCGAATAATATATATCACAATCAAGCACCATCCAAAATATTTCACGCAGTAAAACCGGAAAGTCTAAACAAAATCACCCAAGCAGGAAAAACGAATACAAGGACTTCGAAAAAATATATATCCCATACAACTAGACATGTCACCAAGAGTCAACCCTCAACCACTGGTGATTCCTTTCGTCTCGTCTCGTCTTGTCTCGGCGACCACAACCAGCCAGTCCACATCACCCCACACGACTCAAACCAAACAGTTGGAGACTTCAGCGACTGGTGTCAGGTCTTGCTTGGTCTAGCCACCCTGAACACTCACTCTTCCAACCTAATCCAACTTGCCTTAGCATGGTACGTCTAGTTCGGTTGTCGCTGAGATTTCCTTTGTAGTCGTATGTTTCGTGCTTATGGTATTGGCGATTTGTTTTTCTCTGATGGGGCTTTTTTTGTTGTTTTCCTGTTGCTGTTTCTTGTTTTTTCTACTCCTTCGATTTTTAAGCTTTTTGTCAATTTTTTTTACCTTTGACTTTGTTTGTTCTCTTTATGGTTCTTTTTCTATTTTTCGGTCCTTTTTAGCTGTTTTCGGTGCATTATTTTGATTGTTTAGTTGTATTTTGGTGCGTCTCGCGTCATGTTCGTTGGAGCACCTTTTCGAGTTTTAATAGGATGGATGACACTTCACATGTGCTTTCAATCGACTGTGTGTTGTCAGTCGCATGCCGACTCTCCTTACACTTTCTGCATCCGCTTGATTCAGATTTGCTTTTTTTGCTTTATATTGTTGCTTGAAACTCCTTTCATATCTAGACACTTTCGTAAAACCTCACGGTTTTTTAGCCGAATGCAGCTCTATTGTCAGTAATTTTTGCAAGTGTCAGCTACTGTTTCGATACGATGTCTTTTTCCAGAACGTGTTCGAGGGAAAATCTATGGTCGATGTTCCGTCGTGCAAGTCTGAAACCTGCTTGCTTTCCTCACGTTTGGCGTTGTTGAGCTCCTGTTAGGCGTTGGGTAACTGTGGTGCCTTGGTTCTTGGACACAGTGTTAGTTAAAATAGTTCCCCAATGGTTATCACAGGAAGATTTCTCTCCCTTGTTGTAGGTCGGAATGATTAGTGAAGAAAACCAGTCTGATGGATATACCTCTGAATTTCACACACTACATAGTACCTGCGTCACTTAAAGCAGCAATTTCGTACCTACATCCCTGAAAACTTCTAATGGAAAACTGTTAGGTCCTCTTTTTTCCATTATTTCAAGTTCGATAGTCCTTTCTCAACTTCAAGGAGAGTTTGAGGACTGATGTCTACGTCCCATTCACGTTCATGCCGGGTGAATGCTGAGCAGCTGAAACGTTGCTGAGAGCCGGTTGAACTGTGCTTCAAGGTGGTGGAAAATATTTGTAGCTCAGCTGGATAATTTGGTGTTTTATTCTCTGGAAAACGCTTACAAATTAATCAACAATATTTTCACCGACATCGAATTCACAAGTGAAGAGAATATAAATCATAAACTTGCATTTTTAGATGTTCTGATCATTAGAAGGGATTTGGAGAAATTAGAAACTGAAGTTAACAGAAAACCAATGCAAACGGATCAAGCCGCGGCTACACTAGCCACAACCCAACAGCACACAAATGTGGTAGTATAAAAAACTGTTCAAAAGAGCGAAAACACACTATAGTACATCAATCAGTGGAGGAAATAAGAAAACTATTTGATGACCGTTTTCCAGGAGAACTGCTATTCCCGCAACTTTGTCAGAAGATGTGTACATAGTTCGTCATCAACTAAGAAGTCAAACTCGAAAACCATCAAACGGATTTTCCTTCTCTAAATGAAGAATGTGTTTGAGATCACGGCTAGATTATTGAAGTCTTTGGAATCGTTGTATCTCACAAGCTCACAAAATCTCTCCAGTATCTGCTATGTTACCAAAAGATACAATAGCAAGGGAAGGCAAACGAAACATTATCTACAAAATAAACTGCAGAAACTGAGAAAAACACTACATCGGACAGAGTGGTCGCCCTTTTCACATCCGTCCACACGAACATCAACCAGCAGTGAAGCGTCATGACTAATCGTCGCTCATATCAATGCATATGGGCAACTGTTGATATGAATTTATGTAGGAAAATGGGGAAATCCTGGAAAGAGGAAATACAAAGAAAGCCAGAGGATTTTTAGATGCTTGGTGTTCATGTCAGTCAGCAGTCATATTTGCATTGACCGAATCTGTCAACCAATAAAAAACAACAAGAAGGTCAGGTTTCAGGTCATCAAGAAAATCAATCGAAATAAATATGGAGGCAGTGATAAGATCTTGGGAGAAACAGCCAATCATACACTAGGCAGTCATGACGAGCTACTAAGCTATTTGCAGAGAAAATCCTATAGTTCACTTTCTGAAGTTTGTGCTGATCATGTTATCTAGAATAAAAAAGAAAGCTCTACGATTAAACACCCCATCTCAGAGAGCATTACACCATCAAAAATGTGCTTCAGACTGCTCAGCCAAACTTTCTAGCTGCCTGTCCTACTAGGTTATTACCGTTCCATCCTTTTTGTGATGGTTTCATTATTCGTCGTCTACTTCTAGCTAGTATTCTGTATAAGGATAATGCCAATTGCCGAGTGTTATCCAACACTGATGCTTTTCATTTCTCTTGCTTTCGCCATCCACCATAGCTGGCAATCGTCGTGAAGACTACTGGTCAACTTTCGCTTAAGTTGCTTCTGTTCTTCAATGTGGTCACAGAGTCAGTCTTTTAGCATCGATCAGTCAGAATGAAGTCGTGGAAAACAGATGACGGTTGGTAACCTTCAGGTGCAGTTTACCAGTTATCTTTACCGCTATTTCCACAGTAGACTTAATATCACGCCAGTTGTCCTCAGGGTAAGCACTGCTATCAAGTTAAGTTACATTTTAGCTAAATCCTCTCTAAATACGTACTTGATGTTCTCATCTTTCAACCGGACATAGGCTATACTGCGACCTGTTAGGCGCAGACATACGCGCAACCGTACTAGCGCGTGATCAGAGTCCAAAGTGGTACCCCGGAAAAAGTGGCATTCCTCCATCGATCCACTACAATAAAGGCTTGTAGCAATATAATTTATCTGTGTCCATCGTTGGTTTGTGTACATACAAATCTCATTCTGTAATTCACACACAACCCACTATATATGGATA